GACAAAGTGTAAACATCTCTAATGAGACATAAAGGGGTGTTTTATAAACCCCTCCATACTTATTAACCCTGAATAGGGCTATAATACATACAAATAACCTTGCTGATATCAGCTAAAAGGCAAATCTCTCTGAGACAGGAAGGGGTGCTGCCCCTACATACTTATAAACTCTTAATAAGAATGTTTGTCCAATGTTTTTCGAAATGGCCATTGGAATAAAACTAAAGAGCCTCCATTTTGTTTAAATGTACATAGGGATTTAGGCTAGAGCGCAGGTAATGTTCTCTTAGTTTTTACTATGTATTTAGATACTAAGCTACTACTGCTGTATGCGCTGTGCTTCATCTTTGTGTTTGTAAATGTTAACGTTATAATGTTCATATGACATACCCTTGTTTTGTGAACAACATAAAGACTTGTTAACTCACAAAAGTATTGACCAAAATATAAAAATAACCTATGGCCTTACTGGCCTTGGTATAATGTATATACACAAATGCAAAGAAAAAAGTAATTTGTTATTTGGTCCCCTCGAGCATTCAGGCAGGACCTGAAGGTGGATGCTTCATGACTTGTGTGATGGTCTTTGCTGCATCTCTTCTTCAAAGCAGATATTGGGGGAGAGCTATCAAAGTGTCAACGACTCTTTCACATGTAATTTTACACCGATATTTGATACAGGTTTTTTAATTCGTTAGGAATTTGCTATTTCTTTAGTGCTCTAATCATAATTTTTCAATATATACTATATTTCTGAAAATAAATTTATGAATCCTTCCAACACCTTATCAACAGTCAGGGGATCTGTTTCACTTCTCTTTTTTTCCACCATGCTACATTTGACTGTCTTCTGAAATAATATATTTATTTAAATTTAATTTATTTAGATCACTTTTTGAACACACTTGGAAATACGATAAAAGTAATGATGGAGTCTAACCGTCACTTTTCAGAAGACCTTGATAAATATCTGTAAAGTTACCTGATTACATTCTGCATTACATAGTTTCATAGTAATCTAGGTTGAAAAAAAAATACTTTAATCTACTGAGTGCAACCAAACCAGACCTGCAACAAAAGTTTTTGATGCCGTGCAGCTTTTTCACCACACTGCGGTTGTAAAGATACCAGCCACTCCTAAGCGTTGGATGCCAGTCTTTACATTTTTCTGCTATCATTTGTCAAAGTTGTATCAGTGCAAGCACAAAATACCAAATTGATGCAGGGTGATGACGTGTGGCTCTAGTCCTATACAAACCCTCTGTTTTCAAAAGATTTCTGTCTTTTCATGGTTTCAAAACCCTTAAATATGCTATAAGGTTCTGCATTGCTTGTTTTTTGTTTCTGGTATTTTAGCCTCTATTTGTTTTTTTATTTTTTTTTATTTTTCTGAGCTTTGGTATCAGGATAGGTTATCTGCTCCTGATTTTGAGTATTGTTATTTATCTGCAATTTTTCCTTTTTGCTCAAGGTAGAAACATAGAAACATAGAATGCGACGGCAGATAAGAACCATTCGGCCCATCTAGTCTGCCCAATTTTCTAAATACTTTCATTAGTCCCTAGCCTTATCTTATAGTTAGGATAGCCTTATGCCTATCCCACACATGCTTAAACTCCTTTACTGTTTTACTGTGTTAACCTCTACCACTTCAGCTGGAAGGCTATTCCATGCATCCACTACCCTCTCAGTAAAGTAATAAAATATGAATAGTAAAAGGTGCTGACTGGAGCAAAAATGTTGTTGAGATTTTGATGAGTAAAAAATGTAAATGTTTTTTGTCCTGGTAAGACCGCACATAAGAACTTATTAGTGAAACAAAGCTAGTAAAATAAACCTCTACCACTTCAGCTGGAAGGCTACTCCATGCATCCATTACCCTCTCAATAAAGTAATACTTCCTGATATTATTTTTAAACCTTTGTCCCTCTAATTTAAGACTATGTCCTCTTGTTGTGGTAGTTTTTCTTCTTTTAAATATAGTCTCCTCCTTTACTGTGTTGATTCCCTTTATATATTTAAATGTTTCTATCATATCCCCCCTGTCTCGTCTTTCCTCCAAGCTATACATGTTAAGATCCTTTAACCTTTCCTGGTAAGTTTTATCCCGCAATCCATGAACCAGTTTAGTAGCCCTTCTCTGAACCCTCTCTAAAGTATCAATATCCTTCTGAAGATACAGTCTCCAGTACTGTGTACAATACTCCAAGGTGTTAAGCATGGCCACTGTAAGGTCCGGTTATACTCCTATCTATCTTTCCAGCTTTGTACATTGGTAGGATGCAGGATGTACCGTGGACCAGACTGGAACTTGGTCACGCTACAATAGAGGTAGTAAAGTAATAAAATATCATTAGTAAAAGGTGCTGACTGGAGCAAAAATGTTGTTGAGATTTTGATGAGTAAAAAATTTAAATGGTTTTTTTCCTGGTAAGACCGCACATAAGAAATTACTAGTGAAACAAAGCCAGTAAAATAAACCCTTTCAGTGCCGTTGTAGAGCAGTGTATGCATTAACTGTTGACAGAACAAATGTTGCATTGTTAAATTACCATATTTTTCCATGTACAATATTTTTTATTCAAAACATTTTTAGTCTAAAATTGGGGGTCTTATACACTTAATGTCACTACAGGGGTTAGAAAACAACAACGCAGGTGTGCGGGACCTAAGCCAAGATGGCGTGTGCCTCATTTCAGTGTGCAACGGTCCACACACATTCTTGGCCTCCCTCCCTCCGATCCACTTGCACTGCTGTGGAAAGGAGGAAAAGGTCCATATATGAGTGGGAGCTGCAGCAGACTTCAGCACTTACCACCAACCAGCTACAGAGACATGTCACACCATTAAAGTAGCAGCCATATTAAGGTTTGCTCCATCACAGGTAGGTCTTGCTTTCTGATTTATATTTACGGGGGAAGGAAATGGGGATCAGGGAGCAGAGGGAATACTACTGTGATGTCCCAGCATGCCCTCACACCACTTGCTGTATTGTGGGTTCTGTAGTCTCCCAGCATGCACTATAGATCCATTAACTTCACATAGTACCTTAGCACAGATGAGGCATGAGAATCAGACGTGTCTCGTTCTCCTTAGAAGTCACCTCTAAAATATCAAAGCTGTTCTATCTAAAGTTTAAAATATTTATTTATTAATTTTGGGCTCAAAAAATATGGATTGCCTTGTACACAGGGGCATCTCATACACGGAAAAATACGGTACTTTTTAGAATTTTTTTGAAAATCTGATTACCATTTGGCTCAAAATAAAGAACAATAAAATCATTAAAGTTTCATGAATACATTTTAGCTTTTCAAGCATTTAACCATATGTTGACTATGCAGAGAGTCATCATTTTAAAAACTATACGGTATTAAGGGGTTTCTTTTCCCATCTTGAATAACATTTGATGACTTCGGACTGTGTCAGTGTCCAATGCAACACCTGCATCCCTTGATTAGATAGCGTGTGCAACTTATATCAAATTCTTTTTGCACAGCTGAGCGTTTTCTAGCTTACAGCATAGCAAATAGAAATGTAACTACACTTGATGTAAAGTAAAAACTGCAAATTGTCCTTCCAGGGATTGAAAAGACATGACCCCAAAAAATCCTTAAGTGGTAAACTAATCTATCTTGATTAAGCACACCCCACAGGCAGCCATTAACAAGCAGATAAAGGGAAGGCCCTAGCTTGTCACATAATTCCCCAAGGGAGGAAAATGTCCAGTCTCGTTCCTTTGGCTTGATGCCTGCGGACCCATCTCAGAAGGGCGTCCATCACTGTAGCAATTAGCAAGAATCAGCTGTACTCACAAAATGCAAATAGCTGACTTCCATAGAGACAAACCTAAATGCCTGACACATTTCTTATGATGTCCCTAATGCACTTCTTTTCTTAGATAAATATAGCTATGAGTGGGCTGACGAAGATGTCACAACAGCTGTGTGTAGAAGCCTTTCAGCCCTGTTATCATTTATGGGATATTTGAGCATTTTCAGAGCACACCCTTATATTTTCAGTTTTTACTTAGCTCAGCATGATAAATTGGTTTTGTCACTGTTTCACACACAGTGACCTTGCTGCATATTAGATATTCCATTATTTAGCATGTGCTTAATGGTTAAGCACATTTTAGAAGCAGGACTCTGTCAAACAAAATGTATGCATTTTTTAAGGATTAATTAAGATATTGTGTAAAAATGACCATCTTAAAGGTCATTAACTAATTCAGCATAAAATCCTTGAAAATCCCTAAATATATAGATACAAGGTATAATTGACATGTAATATAAAGTAATTTATAGCTTACAGTGTTTGTCACATATACTGTAAGTGAAATAGAGCAGTTTACATTTGAATGACACTATATATATAAAAATATATATAAAAAAATATGGATCGTCTTGTACACAGGGGCACGGTACTGTTTTGAATTTTTGTACAGGTATATATTTATTTGGAACACGAACATGCATTGTTACTATTCACCTCGTACGGTACAAAGACGCTGCAGAAGCTTAAAGAAGAATTGTTGAAGTATAAAAATGAATTGGTTAAGTTCAAAAAGGAAACATTTGAAAAAGTCAAACAAGATTACCATAAATGTCGAGTATATAAATGGTTGTCAGGAGATAACCAGCAATGAAATAGGAGACCAAGGAAAAGAATACATCGACCATTGGTTAACGACCATAGACATCTCATTGAAGGAATCGACCTCAGAGAATGAAACCAACATTGAAGCTCCTAAATCTCTGTAAGCACCAAATCTCTTTAAGGATTACTTAAAAATTAAAATATAAACAAGGGGCGTGGCCATACTGGACAAAATAGATCGCAGGAGCCGCACTCACTCCCAACGGTCACAGGTGCTCCGGAGCAGGACCAGCAATCCCACCACGACAAGGCAAACTACAAAAACTCACAGGCACTCCAAATGTGAAGCCACAGGCAGATTTATTGCAACAAAATGCACAGCAACGTTTCAACCTAAATAATATTCAATAACTCAGCTGGTAGAGCGGAGGACTGTAGTTGGTATACGATAACAATCCTTAGGTCGCTGGTTCAATTCCGGCTCGAAGGACATGTGAATTGTTAGCTTGACGAAGACATCTAGTTGCGGCTTCACATTTGGAGGGCCTGTGAGTTTTTCTTGTTTGCCTGGACATGGAGTAAGTCGCACTCTCCTGCAGCTCCGTAGCCCCAGCTCACAAAAGTTACTAAAATGAACCTGTTCAGAGCCACAATGGGAAAATCACCAAAGGTGCTTACCCCAGGATACTTCCACGCTCCTTCCCGCGACCCAGACAAGATGGCACCTACCTCACCAAGATCATGAAGGCGGCTAGACTGCTCCAAACCATACCCTACATGGATGCCCAAGTTTCCTTGTATCAGGGTCTCTCAATCCTCATGTTGGAAGCCAAACACGTGTTGAGATCGCTGACCCGCATGCAACATGACAAGCGAAGACTATAAAAATGGGGATTCCCCTTCAGCCTACAGGCAAAAGTGGCCAATGCTTGGCACATCACCCTGAACTGGATACCTGCGAGCCCATCACTCCGCTCTAAAAATCCGGTGAGGCCTCGCGGGAAACCGACCTGTGTCACGGCCCCCGGCTCGCCGCCATGTGCGTCCGTACCCGACCGGCACGACCGCACCAACTCACTGATCTTACCTGCTCAGCGGCGAGCTGGGAACCATTCCTCCACACCAATCAGGGAAATCCAAAATGGCGCCGACCATGAGGTCGCGTCCATCCATGGCTCCACGCCCCAAAATTATACGAACGTGCGTATGACGTCACAACGTCAACGCACGCACACGTTCTGGGGTGAGAGGTCACCCTCTGACCACTCAGAGCCTAGAGAGGGATATTTAAATCCCTAATTCACCCCAGTACCTTGCCCTGTCATGGTTTCCTGTTCCTGGTTCCCTAGAGTGTGTTTATCTTTGTGAATATTACTTCCTGGTATCCTGATCTTGGCTTTTCCCTGGTTATTCCGAATTCTGGTTCCCCTGACTTGGCTTGTTTAAACGGTATCTGAGTATTTCTGGCTTCCTTGACCTCGGCTTTCCCTTTGACCATTCTCTATCTCTAGCGTATTAGTCCTGACATTCTAAGGTCCGGTTCACGCTCTGTCCTTTTATTTCCTTTCCTTTTGCATGTATATGTTTACATAGTTTCTGCGTGTTGGACCACACTAGCAGCCGTGACAATCTGGTGCGAATCAAGCTGACTTAGGATGAAGAAGAGGTGGACCAAATGGCCCAGAGGAGTGCATGATTACGGGATAACACGGGCCGTCGGAAGTCCCGCTCCCTAGCCTTTAACCATGATTGGCCCCTGTTGCCCTCCCCCTTGCCTGAAGTTTAACTCAGGTCCCCCTGCAGTTGCTGCTCTGGTACTAGGAGACAACCATGAGACATGGTTCGTACTTTCTAGGAGTAATGCGTGGAGCCTAGACCATTGCCTTCACAGAAAGACCATGCAGTAAGCCCAGATACACCTCCCTCGGTCCGGGACCCTGCCTTTTCCTTTGGGTGGGTCTCCTTTATTGGGTCTCAGGGGGACTCTTCTGAAATGTGGTGCTGTACCCCTTTCCTGCACTGCCGACCCTACTGTGACTGTGCCCCACATACAGTTCCCAGCCGAATCCTTGTCACGTATTCATCCGCACATAAAAATGTGGTTAATGGCATTTACTGTCCTGACAGGAAAAGTTGTGCTGAGCAACATTACCGTCCTGACAGGAAAAGTTGTGCCAAGCAGCAATCATGCAAATGGAAACCTGGTAATTACTTTTGGGGTCAAAGGCTGGTCATGGCCAATCAAATCCACAGGAGGGTTTAGCTGAGCAGCAATCATGCACACCTGGTAATTGCCTATGTGGTCAAAGGCCGGTTACAGCCAATTGGATCCACAGGAGGGGTATTTAAACCCAACTCTCCTCTGGCTCTTTGCCCTATTGTGGTTTCATGCCTATGGTTATCCGAGAGTGCGTTCCTGATCTTGATTTTCTGGTATTTGACTTTGGCTTTGTTCTGACTTCCCTGATATCTGGTATCCTTGACTTTTGGCTTTCCCTCATCTTTGTGTCTGATTCTGTGTCCCTGACCTTAGTATTTTGACTATTCTTGGAGACGTTAAGTCTGGCCATTTTAAGGTCCGGTTATACATGATCCTTAGTCCTAGGTGTGACACAGTACTGCGTGCTGGATCAACTTGTAATCCTGACACCCCTATACCAGCAACTTGTGGAAATTGTTGGTGCCTGACCATATTGTCTTCGGGGAGAGACCACAGAGAAGGACTGCTCCATGCCCGGATCAATTAATTAAAATAGACAGGTTTATTGCTATTGATGATAATGCTTACTGTGTTGATACTTCTAGGTTTTGGGCCTAAACTCTCCCTGCGCTATGCCCCGGGACCCTCCAGGGAGAGAAGTGGGGGAGGGGGATTGCTGATAGGTATGGGACACCCTCCTACTCAAATGTTGTTGGATCCTGGGGGCACCACCGGGGGAGTGAGGGGTGGGGTGCCTGCTGGAACAGTTCTCGTGGGTCAGGGGGGAGGAGAGGGGGTCTCACCTGGAAGGGTTATACCAATTAAGTTTTCACTGGTTCAGCTGTCATTAGAGACTGCTTGCTCCACCACAACACTGACTTATGTTGTGCGATGTGGGATGGAGTGGGGCTGAGGAGGGATAAATCTTGCTGGGTTGGGGAGGAGGGTGTGGGGGGGGGGGGTAGAATGTTAGAGCTCCCCGGATGTCATGATATGCTTTGTTTTTAAGTTCACCATTGCCGTTATATAGCTTTGAACACAGTTGGGTCAAGATTGAGATGTAGTTAGCTTATGCAAAAGATGTAATGTATTTTCTCCTGCCTAGTAATGGTTGTACCGCTGTGCTAATCCTGACCACATAGCCTGAACACAACCTAGAAGATGACGGCGCAGCTGACATGATGTGGTGGCTGCCTTGAGGGGTCAGTCCACTCTACAGGTAAATAGTCCATATGGGGAGGCTTTTACCCCAACTCATGCTACCCCAGTCCTCGGCACACGCCTACACTTCACTTTTTCGCTGACATGTGGGCTTGGTGCTCAGGGAGACCGCAATGCACGATATTGTTCTAGACGTATTTTGGTCTGTCAATGACCCCCACGTGACTGACTCTGATTGTAAATACTATTGGGAGCCACTGTGGTGAATGGGGTCTGTTAAGTCCCACCTTCACTGACCGTACACTGACCCGATATAGAGTCATAGTTGCCATTTAAGTTCTTGAACTTCTCCCTTTCCTCTACACCTTTCGTTCTCCACTTTCTCTTCTCTCCCTCCCCACTCCTCCCTTTTTTTCCTCTCCTATCACTCTCACACACAAATAACATGGGCTCGGGTTTCACGCCGGCTCCTCTGAAGTTTTGCTGTGGCTGGGTAACCTAATGATAGGTATGAACTAATAACCCAATGATAGATGCTACACTAGGCATTTGGTGCATGCACCGCTATCAACGACAACTAATGACCTCCCTCAACCCACTCATTCCCATCACGAACAACCCAAACTTGACCGCAGGACTGAGTGCTAGGGACCACTGACTGGGTGTACATGCACCAATGGTGCTCTACTATCCAACTTTAAACCATAGCAGCACTCTTCCCCATCAGACAACTGACCCTAATAGACCAGTTCTGCTACCACCAAATTAAAACGTATTACACGTCCATACAGGGCCGAGGGCAGCTGCACAGACCCTTGACACACTTTGAACACCTCTGCACCACATGAGTGGGGCATCTCTACTATGTACATGATGCTACTGGTGGCTGTGATGTTCCTCTCGGGTTCACAAGTAGAAAGGAAAGGGAGACGGAGTCACACTCATGAACACAAATGATCAATAAGTTCAAAGTTCCAAGAGCTAAGTTACAAACTACTAACATTCTGGTACAAGCATGCAGAAATTCCAAGGGAATGCTGGCATTGCGGTGCAGATGAGGGAACCGGGCTCTACATTTGGTGGTCATTTCCCACACTTATTCCCGTCTGGAAGATGATACATGCCAAAATCCAGGACATCAGAGATGCCACCCTATCATTTCAGCCCCTGACTATGTTACTGCATCACACCACAGTGCCACTGCGAGAGAAGGTGAGTGTAATATGGTGAATATGGCAGATTGATGGGTGGGAAGTAGCGCATGGGTGAGTGACAGGATTGGGGGGTAAGTATGACAGTGCGAGAGAAGGTGAGTGTAATGGGGTGAATATGGCAGAGCGATGGGAGGTGAGTATGGCATGGGTGAGTGACAGTTATTGTGAGTGTTGCAGGGTGAAGGGGAGTGACAGTGTATGTGGTAGGGTGACAGTTACACTCATACAGATACAAGCAGTGACACACATACAGATACACAGGGCACATACTGACATACAGATATGCAGACATATAGATACACATTTTTAAAAGTTGTTTACATCCTTAGTATCCCTTATACCCATACTTTTCATCTATATTTATTTTTTTGTAGATTTTTATGTGTATTTTATGTCTACTCCTGATTGGCTAATTACATTTCTTGGTGCCAATTTTATGGCAGGACAGGAGGCTTCATATTTGCTTTACCTTCTTTACTGAAACCTCCAGCAGCAAAGAAACAGTTAACAGAACTTTTCAAAACAACCAATCAGAACAAAGCAACAGTAGTATAAAACCCCTAAGCAGGCTCTTCCACTTCCTCTTTCTTTGCTGCTGCCTCCAGGTGAGCACTCACCAACTCAGAGTTGTCTCTGCTCTTGGTTGTTGTTTTATTCTACATGCTGCTTGTTTATTCAAACAGTCTATTTAATCAGTCTATTTGTTAGGTTTGTTTAAGCAGCTTAATTGCTAGTTTTATTTAGGCAGTCTATTGCTGTGTTTAGCTAGGCAGTCTATTGCTGGGTTTATCTAGGCAGTCTATTGCTGTGTTTAGCTAGGCAGTCTATTGCTGTGTTTATCTAGGCAGTCTATTGCTGTGTTTATCTAGGCAGTCTATTGCTGTGTTTAGCTAGGCAGTCTATTGCTGGGTTTATCTAGGCAGTTTATTCTGTGTTATTTCCTATACCACTTCATGCTATGTAGCTGCTGTATCACTTGTTAACATCTGTTGCTGTATTTAGGCTATTTATCTGACAGATTCTGTATACTGCTCATTGATTTATTGTTATTCTGGGTTACTTTATTCTGTTTTCTCACTCTGCTGTATGGGGAATGGGTGCCCCTGCTATGATGCTTTGGCTCTGCCTGTAATCTGTTCCCCCTCCCCGGGTTCCCCTGCTGGGCTCTGTCGCCCATACCCTTCTCCCTTATTGCCCACCTGCTCCCCGTGGCCCCTGGCCGCTTACTGAGCAGCTTTTTCTACCGTGGCACGATCACCACGCGGTAGGCCGCGCTCTGTTTTTGCAGCCACAGCAGCCATTTTGTTGGAGCCGCGGCGGCCATTTTACAGAGCCACATGGACTCTGTGCGTTGCAAACAGCCAGGTCTCACCCAAGAACTGGCCTGCTGGCCATGTGGCCACCCTCCCCTCTCCCTATATCAGGGGAGATAGCCCAGTGTTTCAGCTATCCCTCCACTTACTGTGCTTGTCTCACATGCTGCATATGTAACAGATCCTGGATAGCAGGATCTGTCCCAGGCATGCTCACAACTGCAGCTTACTATGTCTGATGCAATGTGACTAGGTTCTCTATCTTAGCAGTAGACTTGTCACACTTTTTTTTTTTACTATTACATGTGAATCTCAGATTTAAAGGGACATGTTACTGCTCAAATATAAATCTTTGTTTAACAAGACTATGCCACATGTGTTATATGCTAATCAAGTCTTTCTCTAAGGTTCAGTCTTTTTCTCATAAAAATTTAATGGCCTGTTTTTCAGCACCTAGCATCCCTGCCTAGGATTTGCTGCCCTTCCTGCAAAGGACTTACATTTTCCACTACACATACACTTCAAAAGTGTATCCTAATATAATACCTGAGTGGTCTGTGAGTCAGCTTCTCGCTTTATGGACCCTCCTACCCCTCAGGCCCCACATTCAGACCTGTTATTACTGGGGGGGGTGACCCCCCCCCAATCCATATTTCTGGGGCTCTACCCGCTACTGGACCATAATAATGGACGTGTGACACCATTGTGGGCTGGGTGACCCCCTCCCTCTGGCAACATGGCTACCTATGAGTACCCTGCTGGCTCTATGGCGTCCTGTAAGATTAATGCTGAGGGTGACCCCCTCCTGCTTCCTATATCAATGCTCCGGCAATGTCCTGCTATTATCATACCGAGGGGGTACCCCTCCTGCAGTCTGCACTGCTGGACCTGCAGCGTCCGGGTATTCCCATAAAAGAGGGTACCCCTCCCACTGATTGAGCTTCTGTTCTTACAGTGCCCGGCAATACGCAGATACTGAGGGTGACCCCCTCCTGTGGACTACTCTGCTGGACCTACAGGGTCCCGTTATAAGCATAATGAGGGTGACCCCCTCTCGCTGACTATACTGCTGGGTGTACAGACCTCTATGATAACACACTGAGGGTGACCCCCTCTTACCTACAGCACTGCTGGATCTGCAATGCCCGGTTCTGGTTATATGAGGGTTACCCCCTCCTGCTGTCTACACTGCTGGACCGGCAATGTCTGGTTACTTTATTATACGGCTAACCACTATGGCACTACTGTACCTACAGTGTCCGATTTATGTTCAGACTGAGTGTGACCTCCTCCCCTGCTGGCCTATACTGCATGGTATGCTTGTGCTTGTTGGGTGACCCCCTCTTGCACGCTGGGTGACCCCCAGCTGGCCGCACCACTGTACCTACAGTGTCCGATTATGATCAGACTGAGGGTGACCCCCTCCCCTGCAGGCCTATACTGCATGGTATGCTTGTGCTTGTTGGGTGACCCCCAGCTGGCCGCACCACTGTACCTACAGTGTCCGATTATGATCAGACTGAGGGTGACCCCCTCCCCTGCAGGCCTATACTGCATGGTATGCTTGTGCTTGTTGGGTGACCCCCTCTTGCACGCTGGGTGACCCCCAGCTGGCCGCACAAGGTATCATTCCGACAGTGTTACCTCTATGGCAGTTGTGCAATCACGGCTGAAGGACAAATCTCCCGTACCCAGAAGGTCACTTGGCCTGTCCTCTTGCCGCCCCGCTGACCTCACCGCCAGAAACCATCGGTACCCTACGGGGACACTCCACCGGCCATCCTAGACGCTACACCAAGCACCCCTGGTACTCGTTGGCTAACGGGTGGATTCATCAAGAGGATCAGTCTTCATGATGGAGTCCGGAAAGGACACCGCAAACACCTGACACGGGGTTTGCACTCTATCTGGGACTAACCAGTGGATGTCGGTGACACGCCGACACAGATGTTTCCTCGGGACGAACGGCGCATTACCGCTTGGAAAGCGGAGAAGACTAAGTTCCCACTGGGAATGGACCGATATGTCTTATAGGTATCGCCTAGTTGGTTTCTACCCCTGAGAACCGCAAAACGGCCCCTGTCCAAGCTGGACATCAAACTGAAGGATTTAGCATCCAAGTGCTGGGTCTGCTCTCCGGAGTTACCCTAGTGTACAAATTGAACTGACACGTCTCTATTCATAGGGTTCCCCCTTAACTAACCCCAGAGGTCTATCGGACCGTGCCTGGACTCCAGATCAAGGTTGCGGAACCTTGGACCGTTCCATGAGCGATACGCATGACCAAAAGAGGCATCCATTCCGACTAATTCCGCAGTTGCCCTGCTGGGCAAAGGGTGCGGTGGAGTGGACTCCCGCCCCATCCCCACGCTACATGCTCCCAGTGCATATGTCGTCTGTTGACACATTTTGAGACGGAGGGCACTCATCCCCTCTGAGAGCTGCTTGGCGTTGACGATTGGTTCTCTCCCTCAAATGCACATGAGAGAAACCCGCATGGATTTTGCCATCAACATGGACATATTGAATCTGACTCACTCCCAGTCAACCCAGTTTCCGGTCTTTCATGGAATATTCGGTCCAGGCGGTGCTCCGCCTCCCGAGGACCAAGATGTCCATCTTCAAGGAAAATACCAGGTATATGCTCCGCAACCCGCGGGGTTACACTTAGGGGCCCAAACCGGTTAATTGACCGGTGCCTATTCGCCATGGAAGTCATACCTCCAGGATCCGGTACTATCAGCCGCTCCAACATGGCGCTTTCTCGGGTCTTCGGCCTGGTATGACCAAATCATGTGACCTTCGGATGAAGCTCATCTAAAACTTAATTGATGACTCCGGAGGAGGGACTCCTTTACGCCAACTGCATGGAACCACCTGCAGGTTTGTTCAACATTCACAGTATTGCTCGCTACCTTCTGGCATGGACTTCTCACCGGTTGCCCACTACGGACTGCAGTCGGATCTCACATAGGATCGCTATCTATAGCTTCTGGACAAGTATTCGTCATTTGTGACAGAATGTATACGGGACGAGACACTCGTGTGGCGGACGGCTTCACCCGACCATGGAGAGACCCAAATGATTGGTTGCCTCACCCACCAGGGTCTCGAGTACTGGCATGATTACATTCGGTGCAAACCGCCATACGGAGCGGTTCTCCCTCAGCGAGGCGAGGGACGAGTTTTCCAAGCTTGGTCTCCTTCGGGGCGTACGCATCCCGTTTACCTACAGGATACTTTGGGTTTTGCTTCAGGCCGAATTCCTGGTGTGTCGTTTCGCCTGGCCAAACCACTTCGGAGGAGTCCTGCGTGCTTTCCCCTTTTTGCTGGAGTTTGCCATGGGAAGGCAATCTACGACTCCCTGTCTCTTAATGTCCCATGTGGGATCCACAGGGGTAGCCTGCCACGACTGGTGTTTGGGTCCCAATGGCGGTCCTTATCATGGCTGTCCCCATTGTCTGGCTGAGTTGCCCTCTCAGGGTAGAATCGTATGGGGCCATTCACATCCTATGTCAGCTAGTGGACGACTCATGTGCATTTTCTCAAGATTCTGGCATTGCTAAGGTCTGCAGTCTACCAAGAGGAGTATACCGTACGGGAGCCCTATCTCTCACTATTCCTCAAGTCTAGTGGTATCGTATGTTCTGCATTTCATTGAGGAATGACCTGATGACAAGGTGCACCATTTTTTACGGTTTCCCCCCAGTACATCTTGTATTTCATCGTGTTCTGACGTCATGGTATCGACATGTCTTCTTCCTTCTTGCCGTTCAGTACATCGGCTTCTGCTCCACACATATTTCATTTTTATTCGTCCTCTGTGTCGTACCCCTATTCTCCGGATAGGCCATGGCTCTGACAGATTGTACACGACCATGTAGATCCAGGATCTGCTTCTTTCGTCCGTCTACTCATGGACAGCTGTACGGCCGTTTTCGACTGTTTCTGCATCTTCGCTCGCCCGTTGGATTTGGTGGATCCTCTCATTGACTGACCTTGAGTTCCTCTGGGACACTTTTGGTTCGGGGTGGTGTCACCTCAACAATTTTGGAAGCCGTTGGGTCCCTTCTGCCTTTTTCTCTACACCGCTGCTTGGTTTAGGGAATCAGTTTTTCCATTCTCCTTTATTTCAGTCCTCTCTCATATTGCTTCTGGTTCTACTATTTGGGCGTTAAAATTGCAAATATGAAGCCTCCTGTCCTGCCATAAAATTAGGGATTATTCTAGCCTCGGTGAGGGAATAATCTAAATTTTATTAAAGACAGGAGGCGAATATTTCCCCCCCTTTTTTACGTTCCCTCCCTGGATCTGGGTTTTATTCTATTATATATAATTGGGGATATCGTTATGTTTTGTGAATGCATGGTTTTACATAATAAAGGTTATTTCTAATATTCAGTGATGGTTGTCCGTGTGCGTTTTATTCATCATGTTTGTGTTGTAATTATCTTTCGTCAATGCCTTTTTAGCTTAGGTACATACTAGGTCTTCATAAGATCTGTAGACTTTGTTTATTCATCAGGTATTATGATGTGAAAGTGATATTGTATGGATATGACATCTTGCCTTGACAGTTTACTTTCACAATGTTTTCTGTTTTCTTGCAGTGTAATCTGTTCTCTCTCTGGGCTTGACGATTGTTTCTCTGGATGTGTCTGCTACAAGGTGGATTCGTTGGTTTCCTTGCTCTCCTGCTCGACCTCATCAAAGAAAGAGGAAGTGGAAGAGCTTGCTTAGGGGTTTTATACTACTGTTGCTTTGTTCTGATTGGTTGTTTTGAAAAGTTCTGTTAACTGTTTCTTTGCTGCTGGAGGTTTCAGTAAAGAAGGTAAAGCAAATATTCGCCTCCTGTCTTTAATAAAATTTAGATTATTCCCTCACCGAGGCTAGAATAATCCCTAATTTGAAATCATTAGACCCCTATATAAACACCCCTTGTCAGGTTATTATTTTTATCCCATTTGAAGAAGGCACATATGGTGAAACGTGTAATGGTTATTTTATTTATTTTGTGCATTTTAGATCAATAAAAGTATTTTCGTTACTTTCCTGTGCCCATTCTCTTTTTATTGTATTTTATACACACTTTTTTTTTAATCTTTCCTGGCATTTTACTGTTCCTGTACTCAAAGAAATCCCAGGTCAGGATCATACCACCAACGCTTTATCGACAGAGCAGTGCTTCTGCTCTATACTTGTGAGTATAATTTTATCTACTTTTATACAATTTTACTATAATTGAGAGCACTATTGTTGCCTGTTTTTAATCCTTTTTGGAGCCTTGGAAAACCAAACGGTGCTGACGGACGCACTTTTTCTACACATCCCATAAGCGGGGATTATACCACTGTACGCCCTTCACACCAAAGCTGGTCATAGCTCTTTTAAATGTCGGTTTTCTACCTCTTCCTACCACATTTTATCTTGGATTTTAGACTTATTGCACTATTGGTTGCCTTTGTCTCTCCTGTGGTCTCCATATATAAACGAACATCCATCCTGGTGAACTCCATGCCAATGAGGGTTAAGGTAGTGCTGGAAAATAATGCTGGCCACCAAAATATTGACACTTTGGGCCCAATTTGGACATTTCCACGTAGGTGTGCACTCACTTTTGTAGGGATGTGAACACAATATAAACACACTAGGAGAGCGCAACTATTATAAAAATACACAGTAATAAAAAGTAGAAAATAATAATAAAAACAGCTGCTATCCACATAAAAAAAATTTCCTTACAAATTTCTAAAGTCAAATATAAAAATGAGTGGAAACACTATGGTTTGAAAACCTAAAATTGGTTATCAGTATATATAATATGAACTATAGACACCTCTATATGCAATGTTATGATAATGAATAAAATCACTTTCCTACAAAATCAGCTGCATATAAAACCATTGGATCTATAATATCATATAACCATTAAAATTGTTGCAGAGTCCAAAAGAGTCTATGGGGAGTAATCCTAATGGGGTTGATTCTGTTTTTCTGCTATGGTCCAGCGTCTTTAAAACTGCTGTGTAACACTGTGTCTGTTTGTACCTTAAAAGGATACAAGAAAACACTTCATAGTGTAAAACTGTAATTTAATAAAATAAATATAACAAACCCCTTCCCCCCCAAAGGGAACCCTTACATGTGAAAATGGTGATACTTACTTCTAAGATATCACAAATAAGCAAATGTAGAAGGAGTGAAGCTGTTACCGCTCGTTGTCCTGCTATTCAAAACTCCCGCTCGATCTGTGTGCTGATAACTTCAGTGTCAGTCCTGGGAGGATGCTAGAGACAGGGATCGATCTTTTGCGAGCTGTTTCTCCCTCACGTCTGCTCAGCTGGATGCTGATAATGCTTCAACGTGTTTCACCCACAACCTTGGGCTTATTTTTTTTAAAAGCCCAAGGTTGTGGGCGAAACGCATTGAAGGTCATATTTGACTGACCGCAAACATGGCTTTCATGCCCAAAACAGTTCCACAGATTTAGGCTGTGTGGCTGGTCTATCTCCTCCTCTATCCTGGAGATAATTGGCTTAAGTGGTTGTGGTAACTTAATTATCTCCAGTAACAGGAATTATCTCTAAGTCAAAAACTGTTCCAAAAACCACATAAAAATATATAACTCTTATAATACAATGTTTAACCTATATGTCCAACATATCCCCAGATAGCTTGGGTCTCACGAATACAGTTGGATCGCCATGGAGTTAAACAATAGCAAGGGCTGATGGGAGATGGAGGAGGGACAAAGCAGCCAGTTTCAACTTTTCTGACAGTGTCCCTGGGACAACACCCTGCTGGAGAACAATAGGACAGGAAAAGGGGGGAGGGGAAGAGGCACATTTTCCAATGGAAGTCACTTTTTAAACATGTTTTTTTGCAGGGCCCATAGTCTTTGGGCAAAAGGCTGGCCATTAGTCCTCTCCAAAACCCAGTGGCGAGGTTATTTTCACCACGGTGTATATATATATATATATATATCTATATATATATATATATATATATATATATATAATAAAATATAAATAATAAGTAAATAACAAAATGTAAAAACATATATTTTTTTAATTTTTTATATATATATATATGTTCGGGGCAACATGGAATATGATACGAAGTAAGATTGTTGTTAGCAACCTGTGATAGGAAAAAGTCAGTTGAGGTGTGCCAAAACCGACATATGCTGTAGGCCGGTAAATAAAGTGGGCCTACACTAGAAGAGTATGGTGAATAGAGGGAGCGGAGGGTGGGGCAGCAGCTCCTCAGACCAATCACGGTAGGGTAGGGAAGGGGGAAGTCCCTTTTAAAGGTCCATAAGCCCCTCCCACAACTTCGGCCAAGCCTTCCAATATATGTAATTTTGTTCTAACTGTATTTTGATATTAATATATATATATGTGTATGTGTGTGTGTGTGTGTGTGTATATATATATATATATATATATATATATATACATATATATCAAAATACACGTAGAACGAAATGATATAGATATCTATGTAACAAACCACCTATTACAGGTAGGATTTTGTCACAGATCTTACGGTAAACCACAGCCTTCTAGGGTAATCAAAGTCCAGGACACATTTAGCTAAATTTATTTGGTGCAAAATATACAAGTGCTTCAAAATAAAAATAAACAAAACAAAATTCCTTGCTCTTGTTTGAACACTTACTAAACACAGTAATCACTATCTGGAATTGGGTGGCTTTCCCACTTACCAATTTACAATAACAAAATATAGCTGCCAAACACACCATTCCTCTGGCTCTTTCTCCCTCACTCTGCAGCAGGCTGATACCTTCTTTTAAAAGTATGCTTGCTAATTGACCAGCTACAGGTGAGTATCAATTAGTTCACTTCTCTGGAACTTCCAAGGTAAATACAAGTCCTGGTCTGGCTGTTACATAGTAATTAGTGCTATTGGAACACTGGCCCACCCTGCTCTCCAAATGCTCTGCCCCAGGGACCCTTACCGTGGTTTGCAGAGTACCAGCAATAGTTTTGCAAACCTAACATCTTTCCCTGGGGCATTTAATTGAAAAACCTCAGACTGCTGTTTAGTAAAGCAGGCCTAATATATTTTCCCTCAACAACCATTCCACATTTTCTCTTACAGTATATATAAATAAATACATAAAAATAATATGAAATATATATACAGGTGATACTCGAAAAATTAGAATATCGTGCAAAAGTTCATTTATTTCAGTAATGCAACGTAAAATGGGAAACTAATATATGAGATAGAGGCATTACATGCAAAGCATGATAGTTCAAGCCATGATTTTTCATAAGTGCGATGATTATGGCTTACAGATCATGAAACCCCAAGCATCTTGCAGTGTGTGCCTCTCCATTCTTCCTCCAGACTCTGGGTCCTTGGTTTCCAAATGAGATGCAAAAGTTGCTCTCATCAGAAAAGAGGACTTTGGACCACTGAGCAACATACAAGGTATGTTTTTCTTTAGACCAGGTAAGACGCTTTTGAAGTTGTTTGTTGTTCAGGAGCGGCTTGACAAGAGGAATACGACATCTGAAGCCCATGTCCAGGATCCGTTTGTGTGTGGTGGCTCTTGATGCACTGACTCCAGCCTCAGTCCACTCCTTGTGAAAGTCCCCAACACTTTTGAATGTCCTTTTCCTGACAATCCTCTCCAGGCTGCAGTCATTCCTGCTGCTTGTGCACCTTTTTCTTCCACACTTTCCCCTTCCACATAACTTTCTATTAATGTGCTTTGATACAGCACTTTGGGAACATCCAACTTCCTTCGCAATTACCTTTTGAGGCTTCCCCTCCTTATGGAGGGTGTCAATGATGGTTTTCTGCACAACTGTCAGGTCAGCAGTCTTCCCCATGATTGTGATTCCTACTGAACCGGGCTGAGAGGCAATTTAAAGGCTCAGAAACCCTTTGCAGGTGTTATGGCTTACTTAGCTCCTTAGAATGGGACACTGTGAGCCTAGAATATTGCACCTTTTCACAATATTCTAATTTACTGAGATTGTGGATTTGGGGTTTTCATGATCTGTAAGCCATAATCATCGCACTTATGACAAATCATGGCTTGAACT